TCGTGCTTAAAAATACAAAAAAACTAACGCATTGTCCTTTAAAAACACCCAGAGGAATTCTATCTTTTCCTTTATCTAATCCATACACAGATGAAGATTTACAGAAAAAATGGAAAAGACAGAAAGAAATAACAAGTAATAATAATTATTTACAACATATTAATTTCACATGTTCCTATCAACATGAAACATCTAGTTTGGCTGCATGGGGAAATTCGTCCAATCTTCCCGCGAATTTGAGAAAGATTGCCGACGTAGATATCGCTAAATACGCGCAAGACATCTGGGAGGAATTGAGACACGAATGGGAACTATTTGCAAAAAGGGATACCCTATGTCTTGGAGCTTGTTTGATAAAATATAACCAAGTCATGAAAGAAGTTGTAAACCAAAATATGTCCAATAATCTAACGGCTCCATCTTTATCTTTAAAGGGTTGGTATTATTTATATCATTACGATAAAGAAATGGTTGAAGAAGAATGGTATGAAACTACTAGAATGGTTGCGAAACATACCGAAAAAGAAAATATAGAAAAAGTTTATTCGCACACTAATCCTTTTATAAGAAATTTTATCAGACGATCTATTAAAGGAAGAAGAGTTTCGGCAAATAGAAAATCATTTGAAACGAACAAAATGGACAAAATTTGTAACGTATTAAAGGAATATACAGAACTTGAAAGTAATAACATAATTGATTTATTTAAAGAATACAGCGCAAGCACAAAAGACAAAACGGAGGTTCATTCGAGACTTAAAAAAATAAACTGTACTAAACTAATGGCATTTGATGCTAACGGTTTATACGCTTCAGCAATGTCGGATTTAGACAGTGAATATCCGAGAGCAGAAAGTGGAAGACCGTTTCTACCAGAAGAAGAAAAAGAATTTGTAAAACTCTTCAATAAACAAAAATTTAGACCTAGAACAGCTATTTTAACAGTGTGGTTTGAGTATCCCAAAAAAATGTTTTTATTATACTTAAATTATTATAATTGTTATACTTATATTATTATAATGATTATACTTATATTATTATAATTATTATACTTATATTATTATAATTATTATACTTATATTATTATAATTGTTATACTTATATTATTATAATTATTATACTTATATTATTATAATTATTATACTTATATTATTATAATTATTATAGTTATATTATTGTAATTATTTTACTTATATTATTATAATTATTATACTTATATTATTATAATTATTATATTTAAATTATTATAATTATTATACTTATATTATTGTAATTATTATACTTATATTATTATAATTATTATACTTATATTATTATAATTATTTTACTTATAGTATTGTAATTATTATACTTATATTATTGTAATTATTATACTTATAATATTATAATTATTATACTTATATTATTATAATTATTATACTTATAATATTATAATTATTATACTTATATTATTATAATTATTATACTTATATTATTATAATTATTATACTTATAGTATTGTTATTATTATACTTATATCATTGTAATTATTATACTTATATTATTGTAATTATTATACTTATATTATTGTTATTATTATACTTATATTATTGTAATTATTATACTTATAATATTATGATTATTATACTTATATTATCATAATTATTATACTTATATTATTGTAATTATTATACTTATATTATTGTAATTATTATACTTATATTATTATAATTATTATACTTATATTATTGTAATTATTATACTTATAATATTATAATTATTATACTTATATTATTATAATTATTATACTTATAGTATTGTAATTATTATACTTATATTATTGTAATTATTATACTTATATTATTGTAATTATTATACTTATATTATTATAATTATTATACTTATATTATTGTAATTATTACATATATTCAAAACATCAACCCCAAAATGGACTACTGTCCCTTTAAATAACACAGAGAAATTTGTGTATGATATCTATTAATGATCTGCTGGTGATAAATATCAATTTACAGTTTTTATAGAAACATCTGTTCAGTGGGAGACTTTGCTTTTACTATAAATACGCGATCACATTAAGCATTCGACATCAGCATCAACAAGTCTCTATATAAATAATATCAACAAGTCTCTACTGTATATATAACATCAAAGAGTCTTGTTATTGCTAACGTTGGAACCATGAATAATCTATTATGTTCCGTTCTTTTGGTCTCAGTAACAATATTGATACTAATAGATGCCGGCAAATGTTGATAACGACTGTGGAAATGTAGTCATTACATGTAGTGAAGGCTTTAAGATGGTACAAGGGCTGGAATGTATTGATGAAGAATGGAGATATCAAAAACCAATATGTGAACCCACAGGTAAGATAATTAATACTTGAATTACAAATAAACAATATTAGCTTGGTGCACTCACCTAAAGGGATGCTGAGTTGACAAACCAAATCGCTCAGTGAAGTTAATATGCACTATTGCAATACATGTCATGATACATATTATAGTGAAGTTCAATATACCTTATCCCACGACTTTTGGAACTATCGAAACTTCTAACTTTTCCATTTAGAAAGAATTTGGGTGAAGAGTTCTATATACGCTGTTATTCATCATGGACCACAATATCGGCTTTGTTTGGCATAACGTCTATTTGTTCTTTACTAGCGACACCAAATTCATTATGACATTAGATTTTCCCGAGGGAATTGTTACAGCAATAATTTGATGAGATTAAAAACAGCCTACCATTAGTGAACAAAATTCTTAAATCTGGAAAAATTGGGAAAAGCCTCGAATTATGAACTCAATAAAAACTTCGTTGTAATTATAACAATACCAATTATTGACAATTTACGTTTATAACCTTGTATCAGTCTGTTTTGGGCTCATTCTTATTAGGACTAATTCCCATTTGAGCTACTATATTTCCTGTCATTGTCTAATAAATCTATTTTTATCACATCACATTTTGATTTCACCCACCTCTACCCTCGGAATATTGCCAAATAGATTTATTTTTTTCATTTTAGAGTGTCCACAAGGTGTGAATATCAAGAACTCTGATAATGTAACAGAATCCAGAAATATTGATGAAGTTTTAACTTTTGAATGTTTTAATGGCATAAATGGTCTGATGGGAGCTCAGAGATGTGGTGAAGATGGTAAATGGATAGAAGAGCAAGCTTGTCCAGCAGGTAATTTAGGTTTAATATTGTCTATTGTGTATAGTTGGACGAAGATTTATATTTCTAACAAAGTGATCTTTCTTGTTAAGAAGACAATATGGCCTCATTATGATTGTTGTTTTGATTAACTGAGATCTTTCCAGAATTGTCTCTAATACGATTTATATTTCAGAGGTATACCCAGCAAAGTTTATAACAATTGTTAATTATGGTCAGGCTCTATCAACCAATTGTACTGAAGCTTGTCTTAACGATACCCGGTGTAGCTTTGCTGGACCAGCCACTTCAAGCAAATGCAATCTCTTTGAA